AGCAGGTTATCGAGAAGCATATTCTTTATTCAGTAACCAATCTTTATCCTATTTATCACTTGAAGATCATTCATTCCTAATCGCCTCTACAGTTGTAATAATCGAGATATTAGTGCATAAACTGACTATAATTTTAATTGAATTTGAGATTTTCCAGTCGATTGATTGAACCGAAGTGGTCGGTCTCAGGTTGACGTGTCTGTCGCCTTCTTGTGCAGATGCTTCGACGATGTCTGAACATTTAATTGGAATTTAGTTTGTGGATGATGACTAGCAGTGGAGTAATCCAGGATAATGTGCATTTTGTCTTATTTGAGACTCGTCCACTGGCGTTTGAAACTAAGGGCACTGGGTTCGAGCCTCGGTGGTAGGAACATCATCACTCACTGACTGGGAAATGCAGGTATATCCAGGTGACGAGTCTGAAATAGGACGGAATGCGCGTCATCCTGGATTCCACTACTAGTGACCATCCACAAACTAAACTGACTATTATACCAGAATTAATCATTTTCTCATCTTTTTCTAATTGAATTTCCTCTACTTTCTGTTTCATTAAGTAGGAGTAAGTTAGTTAGCCTAGAATCTGACCTAACTATAATGAGGCGTAATACTGTTACTAAATATTTAAGTAATTCGTATGTTGGGTGTACCTAAAGTCAACTATTGGTCTAATAGGATATCCTGCTTTATGAATATTAATAGTCCCATACATTCTACTAGGATTATTAGTTTTAGGTATTAGATTAAACTACTTTTAAATCACCCAAAGATGACCTCATTAGTCGTATTAGATCTTTATTCACAATAGTGTCTACACGTCTTATTTTTTAATTTCCTGATATGGGCCTGTTTCAATATATATACATATACTGACTGAACTTGTTTATATAATCTGATTTTCAAGTATTGATTTTGTAAGGGGTTTTGTTTGATTGATTGGAGGATTTCATCATGAGCTGACATCGGTTAGAGAACCGTTGGAAAGCCACCTGTGAGTACTAGATAGCCAGCTGTTTCGTCAGCCTAGTTTGGGACTCTTCAGTAGTACGCACCCACAGTCCATATCTACTATTATATTATTATTATTTCCTTTCATTCCTAGAGAAACATAGGGCTTCAGCCAAACCTATCCATGGAGTTCGGTCCTCCATCCTCCTCCTCCAACAACGTTTTCACCTGGCTCCACGTCTGCCCACATGCCTTTATCTCCTCTTCACATGACCTTCTCCATGTCACCCTTGGAAGACCAACTAGCCGCCTTCCGTTAGGGTTCCACTCAAGAGAGAACCTGGCATGTGATGACACTTGATGATTTGTTTTCTCAGAGTATGGCCTCCAATCCACCTACCCCCATTTCTTCCTGCATATTTCTTGCACAATTGGTTCCTGATGGGTGAGTTCGTTCATTGACAGAGATCCCTTTCTGTTGCTTATCTTTTCTGGTCGGCCATCTGATCTTGAGTAGTATTGAGCGAAGACAGCTGTTGATGAAGGTGTGTAGTTTGTTCGAAATGCCCTCACAGTATTATACAGTTTAGAAACTTTGTTCCTATCCAGTATAAAAGGAAGCTATTTGGAAAAGTATTCGGTAAAGCACAAAACAACGACCGTGATGGATATTTTATCTAAGAATGGCTATCATGAGAGTCAGTGAAACTCTCCGCACCGCTTTCAAGGAAAAATGTATATATCAGTATGTTCCTTAAAGGAGATGATGTACAAGAAGCAGTTAAATGAATCCAAAATTTCAATAGAAAAGCAGCTCATAGACTATAGACATGATACTGATGCGCTGTCAAGTCATTCACTGTTGTTATCAGCAGACAAAAAAGCGAAAAAATGCATGCTTGAGTTTTATAGTTTTCTTTAGACAGTCAGGAGGAGGAGCTTCCAATGTTAAATTGTAGAATAAAAAGGAAAGAAGATGGGAAGTTAAACACACACTAGTGTGTTTACAGGAAACCCACACACATTCAAATCAATATTTGGATTTCAATTTTACCCCACCCTATGTGAGTAGAAATAGGATTGGTGAAATGTCTAAGTAATAGAGTACAAAAACTAAGAAGTACCAAAGAAAATCTAAGACAGGAAGTAAGGCATATAAGAGAAGCCTTGAAACTTAATAATTGCCCTGATAAATTAGTCCGAAAGTATGTAGCAAAATGTAAAAACAAAATAAATAATGATAGTAGTGATAGTGATATTAAAAACAATAATAATATTAATGGGGACATGCAGAGGATAATGACAAAACCAACAATAAGGAATCTAAATCATCGTCAGAAGTACTTCCATACAAAGAAGGAACCTTGGAAACCCCACGGCGGAGAATTCCTAACAATGCACGGATAAATTTAGCATCCGAACCCACAAACTGAATTGGAAACATGCTTTGTCGGTTAAATGGTGGATCCTGTGTAGCGGCTAATTAAACAAAACAATTTAGTTTATCTAATACCCTGCCTGCAATGATTGTCAGGTCAAATACATACGGTCAAACTAGTAGAACAAGGTCAGTCAGACTAGCGAAGCACTAAAAGGGTAGCAGCAAAATTTAGATTAGTTGACCCCAATAAGATAGGAAATCTAGAGAATAGTTCAGCTATACCACTCACTACATGCAATTACAAACAACCATACAATAGGATGGTTGGGATAGGATGACAGTTTTAAAATTTAATGTAACAGAGTGGAGGGAGAGATGTACAACGGAAGCTTGATTTATCGAATCAGTTGAGAGTTAATACGTGTAATAGGAATGATTCAACATCTGTCCACCCAGACATCTGGAAAATTCTACTACCCCAACGACGACACATAGGAGAGAACAAAGAAAACTAGAAAATGAAAGTTTCGAAGTCATGTGATTATAATTGATGAAATGACTTTGTTTGATTGGTTGGAGGATTTCATCATGAGCTGACATCAGTTGGAGAACCATTGGAAACCACTCTTCAGCAGTACTCACCCACCGCCAGGATTCGAACCCAGGACCTTCTGGCTGCAAGGCTAGCGAGCTCGTAGACCATTGAGACACTGGGACCCAATCCAATGGCCAACCAGATCATGAATTCTAACTTGCGAATTCACGACATAGCGCAACCATTTCGTAATGTCTTCTTTGATGACTTACTGCCTCATCTTCAACCTGCCGTATCCAACTGGCGACGTCTTCCCCCTATAATCCCAGGTCACTGTCTGAATAGGGCCAGTCGCTAGTGAATTGGCAGAAGTAAGAATTCATGGACTTGCTGGCCATTGGATCGGGTCCCAATGTCTCAATGGTCTACGACTTCTTAATATATGTGTAAAACTTGGGCACTGTGGTAGTAAGTAATTCCATATAAGTTTGTTTATTTGATATATCACACAGTGAAACAGTATTATTTACTGGATGACGTTTCGAACAAAATTTATTGTTCATAATCATATCAATTATAATCACACGACTTTGATTATAATTGATATGATTATGAACAATAAATTTTGTTCGAAACGTCATCCAGTAAATAATACTGTTTCACTGTGTGATATATCAAATAAACAAACTTATATGGTCTACGACTTCGCCTTGTAACCAGAAGGCCCTGGGTTCAAACCCTGGCGGGGGGTGCGTACTGCTGAAGGGTTTTTTTCCTTCACGTTCCCAGTGGAACATAGGGTGGCTTCAAGCTAGAGGCTTGAAGTTTCTGTAGCTGTGGTGTTTATTTTTTACGGGATGGGGTTTCTAACCTCATGCCCCTCCCCAACCTTTCCTCTTCACCAGCTTTATTTCAGGCTTAGTGAGGTAAAGGAGTGTGTCTGTGGCCAGAGATCGAACCCCGGATCGTATGCATGGTTGGCGAGCGTCCTAACCGCTGTGTCACCGATGCACCGCTGAAGGGTTAGTCCGTGACTTAGCAGTACTCCCTGCCTGGTGGTTTTCCAATGGTTCTCTAAGTAATGTCATCTCATGATTAAATCCTCCAAGCAACCAAACAAAATCCCTACAGAAACAAATACTTGAAAATTGAATAACTCAATTAGAGCATCTGCAAGATAAAGTGAATGCATTTTGTGTTTCAAAGGATATTCCACAGCTGAAGAGAAAGCTCGAATAATCATCCCAACACAATTATGACAAACACAAATCGGTAGCATCCAGTATTATTATTTTTTTTTGCTGTCTGTATATTCTTTATCACAGAAGCATTAAAGGTCACTACACCACCCAGTGCATCTATCTACTATCTCTTTTTGCACCCTATTTATCTTGTCAACATGGTTTAAAGCTGTTGTTTTTTATCCTACACACAATTTTCCGTAGAAAAAGGTATACCAATTAGGTGTATGTTTTTTTCTCTCTTCCATGAACAGTCTTTTTCCCAATAGCCACAGAGAGAGTGAAAAAAGTCACATATGCACTTATCTTTGAGTGGCATTTAAGGCAGGTCTTGTTGATATTAGTTTGATATTAGTGTTGGCATTTCAATTCCTCTCAACTTTCACTCTCTCTCTCTCTCTCTTCTGGTGCACAACACACACAGTGTCAGAATATTCCATATCGATAGATAGCCTAGTCATATTATTTTCCACCAATAAGATTTGTATATTTTGTGAAAATGTTGTTGAATTTTGATTGGTCAATTCGCCATTATTATTATTATTACTATCTGATTGGTTAATATCTCCTTTAGACAATTAATTGATCAGACCGACTTATTAAGGAGCCATTTACAATTTTGTGTTAAATAGGTACAATGATGATTATGATGATGACTATATGGTTCAGTAAATCATGTGACTTTTATTTTCATTCATTCATTCATTCAAACAAATAAACAAAAGAGATAAACACACAGAGTTAGTTTAATTGAATTTTGAACACAACAAGTAACAATTGAATTCAGTCTAATTTACACCACACTCACTACGCATGGATATTACACTACTACTACTACTACTACTACTACTACTACTACTACTACATCTATTATCGATCTGCGATCATTTTAATGCTTGATCATCATCAACCAGTGAATACTATAAAACGCTTCAATTGTCTTTCAACATCAAAACATCAAAATCAATCAAAAATAATAACCAATGTTACTGTGATTAAAGCAAAAGAGAAAAATACGACGTCTCTAAGTTTGAGTACAAATAATATTTGTGATATAGAAGCTTCTTCTACTTCTTATATTATGGATAAATGTAATATGCAAAATATGCATAATCCTGGTGACGATGCTGTTGTCTACTCTTCACTGACTGCAATATCCTGTGATAATACTTCGTCGTCACAATTGTTAAACAACAACAACAACAGCAACCCTAACAACAATACTGATAATTCAGACTATGGAAGCCTGTCTTTACCATCGACGAATTCACGATCATATGCTAAACAATTTATTGATTTATTTCCAGTTCTGATGACAAAAAAGAAGGCATTGAATTATTTCCAGAAAACTTCATCCTCTATTACATTAACAGAATCTTCACGGAATCATTATAATGACTTGTGGGTTGGTTCATTGAAGTAAGTCAGCACTGAGATATTTATTTTATTTAAGTTGGTATTTTTCGTACCAGATTTCATTTGTGTTTTGAATTTTTATTGGTGTTTTCATGGTGACTATGGGAATTATATGGCTTTTGACAACCAATCAAATCAAATGATGCCTTCTCTAGCTGAATTTTTTAAACAAGAACTAGGAGAGTTGAGTGCTTGATTATCATATTATTACTGTTTCCTTTTATTCCTAGGGGAACATAGAGCTTCAGCCGCACGTCTCCATTGCTTTCGGCTCTCTGACAACGTTTTCACCTGGCTCCACGTCTGCCTATATCCTTTCATCTCCTCTCCACATGACCTCCTCCATGTCACCTTCGCACTGACGACCAACTGACTCGCCACTTCCCATTCGGGTTTTATTGGAGCGATAGACTAGGGTGTGATGTCACTCACTTGATCATTTGTTTCCTCAGAGTATGGCCAATCCACCTGCATTTTTTCCTGCATATTTATTGCACAATTGGTTCCTGCCGGGTTGCTTCGTTCATTGCCAGAGATTCCTCCCTGTTGCTTGATTAGTGTTGAGCGAAGACCGCTTTTGATGAAGGTCTGTAGTTTGTTCGAAGTGGCCTTCGTGACGCGGCTCCAAGTCTCTAATCCGTATAGTAGGTAACACTGACTTTACGGACCCCATTTTTGATTACTTTGTGAATAATAAGTTGATAAGAATTAATAAAATCTAGGCTAATTGGGTTTTGTAGTAAATCATCAGAAAATAGTATCACAAAAAATAACCGGTCTGGGAACATTATGAACAAGAGTAAAGAATAAACACCACAGTCGAATGACCTTGAGCCAACCAATGAGATCGCTTAACATTACAAATGAATGCTTTTCATAATCTCTATTTAGACAAAGCAATAAAAAGACGTAATTTGTCTGAATCGTGTAATGTGTATTTGCGCAACACATTTCGAACAATTTGATCACACATCGACTCGTCATAGGAATATATACATGAAATTAATAAAGAGTTAAGAGGTGAGGAAATAAATTTAGGTCAAGTTCAAAGGACATATTGAGGGGCAATTAAAAAAACAATGAAGGTCACCAAATCAAATAACGGCGGTAATTGTACATCTACCCTGGCTGGTATCAAAACAAAGTTTACCAAGGAAGGTTTAGTGTGATGACGAACTGTTTCTGAACGCATAAAAGTAGTTTAAACTGTCCATTTGCCAGCTAGGGCTTCCACAAACTTTAGGATACGCCCCAAACACATTTTATAGATAGGTTTAAAAGACTTGTAAACATCAATTTTATGTCCTGTCTCTATAATATTTTTCGCAAAAGAGGTCTCCTTTTCTCAACATTAATGGATTCTGGAGATTTTATTTGCTTCTGAAGTCATTTAGTAATATGCTCTGAAACCAACCCTTATTTACAGAGATTGATGAGTTCTCCCACCTGTGTGTGTATCCACACGTATATTCAAATTGGTAAATACAGTGGGATGTGACGTCATTTTCCTCATGTTCATAGGGCTTAGATAGATATACTGACTTCACATTCTCAATTATTATGATAATAGCTGCATAAAAAGTCTTTTTAACAACAGCCTTTAATCTTTGTCTAGTTATCAAACTGCTATGATGCCCCATATAGGGTAGCTTGATGTACACGTCTTTCTTAAAGGCGAGCTGGGGAGCGGGTTTTGGTGTTCTGACTACTTTATATCTCCTGATGAACTTGTCTGGATAATTGTTATCAACCAGAGTTTGTGTCAACTTTCTTTCTTCTTCATTAAGTGTGTCGGTCTTCAGTGCATATTCGTTAGACTCTACTGAAGCGGCACCCAGCTGACTAAGGTTCTTTTGTACCGAACAGAACAGAAACTGTGGTAATTAAGATACTGTCCTGTCCATGTAGGTTTTCTATGAATAGATCTTTTTATTGATCCATCAAGCCGTCGACTGAGCAATATATCTAGGAAAGATAAACAATTATCTGCTTCTTCTACAGATGTAAGTGATATGCTATTCTGAACTTCATTCATTCGATTTAAATCTGTGTTGCAAGTTTCACTCTGATTTAATGTTAGGAAAGGATTAAGTCAGGGTTATGTTTAATGTTAGACTGAAACTTGCAACGATAATTATGGGCAGCATGTATTTGAAATGCTGAACAGTGTAAATATCATTTTCAGGCTATAATTATTATAAAGACAATCGTTCATCAGAATTAGTGGATCCTATGACTCATATACTTTGGTTTATCTGCTATAGCCACTCCCATGGAAAACTGAGACCTCATTTTGGCAAGAGTTAACAATAAACACTAAAGTCAAACGACCTTGAAACGACCAATCAAACCGTTCATCATTCATGATAGATGTTCTTCATGATGTTCGTTGCAAGTTTCACCCAGATTTGGTGATAGGGAGGTCTAAAACCTGCATATGTGGAGGGATAACGACGTTACAAAAGTAGTGCCGCGCTATTGACGGCTACGCATTTAGATGCAACCAGTGTTATATGAGGAAGTCTGTAAGAGTTAGTAAGTCGTACATTATGGTGATTTTTTAGATACTTTCTTCTCGAAATCGAAACTGTCTCTTAGTAAAATATTGCGTATATGCCATAACTGGTTACTGAAGCGCCCAGTATCTGCTACAGCTGCAGAAACGCATAATACAAAGATTTCAACTGTACAGTGGTATCCGTACTGCTGTGATATTGCGACACACAAGCTAAATGGAATCACCTCTGCTCTGTACTTGACGGAGTTGGCGTCATCGTGCATATTGACGAAACGGTACTTATAAAGCGAAAAATGAATTGTGACAGGAGTGCTGGGACTCTATGACACAAATTTTCGTAAAGCGTTTATAGAACGCGTCCCGAACAGAGGTTCTGATATCTTAATACTAATTATACAACGATTAGTCCTCCCAGGAACTACCATCCACACACACGAATCGAGAGGTTATTCTCAATTATCATCACTAGGCTATATTCACCACAAAGTCAACCATTCTTCTAAATTTGTGGATTCTGTAACAGAAACACATACAAATTCCATTGAAGGATTCATGGCTCACCTCAAAAAACGTATCAGAATGGTAAACGGTTCCCGAAATGATAGCTATTTAGATGAGTTTTTCTATCGACATTGGTTTAATATGTCCATAACCACTCCTATGCGGATCTGGGACCAGTTTTTGTAGCATATTAGAGACATTTATCCTGTATAATTCATTTTTATTACATATGTATATTATGAATACAGTTTAAATAATTTTATGCCACTTTTTGACTGAAAGAATCTGATTGGCTGTTTCAAGGTCGTCTGCAGTTGACGTCTATTCTTTGATGTTGCCCTCAGTTTACAGCATGTTAGAGACATATGCTCTATATAAATCATTTCTATCATACATATATCCAGTAAATATCCTTTTTTATAGTATAAACGTCACTGTTTACTTAGAAGCATATGATTGGCTGGTTCAAGGCCATTCGACTGTGGTATCTATTCTTTACTGTTGCTCATTATTATTATTATTATTTGTAGTAATTCTCTTAATAATTTTGACACTTTCATTGCTCTTTAATTCTGATTGTTTTATGAAAGTCAGTGGGAAGAACGATCTGTTTGGCTGCTATAGTAGTGGATAACCGGTCAAAGTTAAACTTTAGGAACTCATGTCCTAGGAAAGAGCCACAGATCTACTCAACCTTAACCTTATTCTTCCCTTAACCTAACCTAACCCCTGATCTATGCCTAAGCTTAATTTACCTCTAATCAACTCTAGTATCCCCCTAATATTAGGTTAAACTACTAATCCTAACTGGTCCTTATCTTAAAGCTAACCTTAATCTTCCTCTAACTAATTATAATTAAATATCCTGTTTAATATCATAACACGGCATAGTTCAACAATAGCGTCCCAAGGGATGGGAACACAGGTATGACCTTCAGCTGACCAATCATAAAAATGAGGAATTTTTGCACAAAAAAATAACACATATTTTTAACAGAAAATTCATGAGAACACATTAAACAGGTTATCTCTCTCTGACATGACTTAAAAATACGTCCCAATAATAATGAGGAGTATCAGTTGCTAAGTTAGACCAATTTCCGTACATGTATTCACCGAGATGTAAAAAGATGAGCTGTTTTTATGAATCGTTTATCTCTCTTATCCTGTTGTGCGGTCTTCCACAAAAGCACTCGGTTGACTTACTACGGTTTCCAGTAAGAGGATCGACAACTACTTACCAGCAAAATGTGGGTAATAAAACTAAACTTAACACTAACCCTAACATCAATCCTAACTGTAATTATGACTCTAACCCTAACCCCAACACTTACCTTAACCCTAATCCTAACTCTAATAAGCTATTAACCCAATGTCCAGACAGTACTTAAAACGTGATCTGGGTGAAATTTGCTGCTTAGCTGTGGTGAATAGTGTTGATATTTCAGTTATGATAATCACAGGTGCCATTAGCCAACGACTAGCATGCATTCAAGATCAGTGGAGCGTTCGCACTCCTCCTGGGATGACGGTATTGTTGAACTTCTCCCCATAACATTTCATTCAGCATTTTTTTTTTCATGAATATAGTGTGATTTACTTGATTTCACTAACTTGCTCTGTGATTGAGCGTTCTAAGGTCATTGATGTGTTTGCGCTTCTTAGTTGTCTAAAGTTTAACTCCGCCGATGACTGTTTATACTCTACCCCTTTGTTCAAATTGAATATCAACTTTATATCAAGGGTCGACGACTCTTTTTATGTTGTTGCTTCATTTGAGTTCCAAGTGGAGAGCATAAGGCTTCAAGGTTTTAAGCTTTGTAATTTCAGTGGCAGTGATACTGTCTTTCCAGAGTGGCGTCGCTAGTCCCTCTTTACTGGTTTTACTATTGGGTGGGCAAGGTTTGGGAGTGCAACGGCACTGGGAATCGAACCCCTGACTAATTGCAGTGTGATTGGCGAGAGTTCTATCAGTTAAAACAACCGATACACGCTCTCTGTCTTAGTAATATGAACATGGAACAAAGATATTTTTAGTGGAAAGACGTAAGCATGCTGACCCAAATGTGAACGATCGATCTATTGATCTTGAATAAGCAATCGAATCAACCATGTAGTAGGCATTATTTGAATTGAAAATTGTATTAAGGACAAGTGAGGATTAATATGCGTGTAATTAATTTGTTTATTAGATATATCACAGCCAGTGAAACAGTATTATTTACAGGATGACAAAGTTTCGAACACAATTTCCTACTGTTGCTAATCATTTCATCAGTTATAATCACACGACTTCGATACTTGAGTTTTATATAGTTTTCTTTGTTCTCTCCTATTTGTCGTCATTGGGATAGTAGAATTTTCCAGGTATCTGAGTGGACAGGTATTGAATCATTCCTATTACACGTATTCCCTTCAGTTTATTTGATAAACAAAGCTTCCGTTATCAATCTCTCCCTCCACCGTGTGACATTACATTAGATTTTAAAACTGGCATCTTATCCCATACACCATATTGTATGCTTGTGTATAATTTCATGTAGTGTGTGCTATAGCTAACCTATTCTCCAGATTTCTTATCTTATTCAGGTCAATTAATCTAGATTTCGCAAGGTTTTTATGCTCCGCTAGTCTGACTGACTGCACCTGTTCTACTAGTTTGACCTATGTATTTGACCTGACAATCATTTTTAGCAGGGAATTAGATAAACTGAATTGTTTCGTTTAGTTGGCTCCACAGGATCCACCATTTAACCGACGAAAAATGTTTCCAATTTAACTTGTGGTTGGTTTGAATGCCAGCCACTTTTATTCCTGCCTTGTTAAGAATTCTCCACTGTGAGGTTTCCGAGGTTCCTTCTTTGTATGGAATTACTACTGATGATTTCGATTCCTTATTGTTGGTGTTGTTATTATCCTGTGCACGGTTGACATGCATGTCATCATTAATATTATTATCACTACTATCATTATTTATTTTGACATTTTCCTGCATGCTTCCCGATTAATTTATCAGAGTTTTTATTAAGTTTCAAGGCTTCTCCTCTTATATGCCTCACTTCCTGTCTTAGATTTTCCTTGGTACAACTTAGTTTTTGTGCTCTGTCACTTAGACATTTCACCAATCCTATTTTTACTGACATAGGATGGAATGAAATTCGCAACGCAGTTTGTGCATATCATCCACGTTTGTTTGGTTAGGTGTGGTATACTCTAGTTTAGCCTAAAAAGCTTTAAACTACCATCACCTCCATAGTATACCTGTGGTGAGTGCTACTTATAATCCGATATAAGTAGTATATCAGGAACGAAGTAACAACATGTTTGGCACACCGAAAGAGCAATCAAAGAAGAGAACCATAAGAAGAATGTTGCCATATGATGCAGAATCCAAGAAGCTATCGAATGAGATGATATTCGACCAATTCGTCAAGGATGTGGTGAAGATGTGCAAATGGCCGGTTTAGAATATGGTATTCCAAATTTAGCTATGTACCATACGTTTCACCAAATAAACAATCCTTTCAGTCTCCTCAGTCTTGTCTTCTTCACATTTGGTGTCGCTGCCTCTGTCGGAGATGAAGGTGCCGTGGCCGCAGGTGTTCGAGGATGGAGATGTGCGGACGTTCTTCAGGGACTTCGGAGCTGTCGCGGAGCTGGTTGGAGTGCAGGAGCAGAAGGCGAAGCTGGTGGTCTTCGGAACGCTGCTGAGGGGCCGCGCGAAGGCTGCGTACGACAACGCTCGGGAGCTGGAAGGTGAGGCGGCGTGGGACAAGGTCGTCGAGAGGCTCGTGTGCGAGTTCGACAGCCCTGCGGACAGACAAGAGGCGCTGCAGAAGTTTCGGACGCTGAGACTTGGCCAGGATGGGGATCCGTTGGTTCTCGCAGTAACGCTGACGAATCACCTGCGACGCGCGTTACCCACCCTAGACGAAGATTCACGGGAGCAGTTGCTGGCATCTCAGTTCCTCGAATGCGTCCCGACAGATGTCGCTCATCAGTTGCAGCTAGTTAACGCAGCTCAGCCAATGGATGTCTATGAAATGGCCAAGGTGACAAGGCAGATAATGACCTCGCATGTTGCTCCAGTGATGTCGGAGGGCCAAGACTCCAAGAAGATTGAAGAGTTGAAACAACAGGTGGCAGCTATGCAGAAAAAAACAAACAACAGGTGCTTTGCTTGCGGAGGAACCGGTCACTGGCAGAGAAACTGCCCGAAAAGAAGGCAGAAAAACCTTAAACGATACAGTCTTCCTTCTTTTTCTCGCTCGCGTTTAGAGGTGGTCGGGTTGGTCGAAAGAGGGTCAGTGTACGGGAGATTACGAGTGAACGAAAAAGAAATAGTTTGTTTGATCGACACAGGGGCGGCAGTTTCGTTGATAGGTAGAGAACAGTGTAAGGAAATAAGACCGTGCACATTAGCAGTTCAGACGGTAGGAGGACATCCGTTGCACATTCTTGGCGTTTCAGACTGCGTTGTAGAGATTGGAGCAGGAAAAATACGATATCCGTTTATTGTAACTTCTGATATAAGACGAACGATTTTGGGAGCAGACTTTCTCAGAGAAGTAGGAGCTTTAATCGATATGAAGAATAGAAAAGTGGTCACAAAACACGGGCAATTCGCGATACATGAGAATAGTGAAGTCGCTGAGGTGGAAACCACAACCATTGGTCAGCAAGAAGCACCACGTCTAACCACGTTGATGAGTAAATATGCCGGTTTATTCACTAGTGATGGAGACCCATACGGTTATTGTGATAAGGTAAAGCATAACATCCCACTGAAGGATACGGGGAAGACAGTCTTTTCATCGCGACGAGTTCCGGTCCACCTTGAAGAAGAAGTTAACCGACAAGTCAGAGAAATGTTAAACGACGGAATAATCGAAGAAGCCGACAGTCCGTACAGTTCGCCAATCCTTTTGGTGAAGAAAGCTAACGGGAAATATAGATTTTGTGTCGACTTCAGACAGCTGAATAGCCTCACCGAAGTAAAACAGTGTGCAATGCCTACCGTAACAGAAACCCTTGATCGCCTTCATAAAGCCAAGTTATTCACCGTGTTCGACCTACGATCGGGTTACTGGCAAATCCCAATAGCAGAAAGTGATCGAAGTAAAACAGCTTTCACAGTCGGGCAGAAACAATACCAGTTTAAACGAATGCCATTTGGATTGGTAGGTGCCCCATTTACATTCAGAAGATTAATGACCTTATTACTGAAGGATCTGAAGAACGTAGAAGTATATGGAGATGACTTGGTGGTATATAGTGAGACAGAAAGCGACCATATAGACCACATCGAAGCTATCTTAAAGAGAATTGATGACTTTGGACTGCGTATTAATAAGCACAAGTCCCAAATAGCTAAAAACACGGTTGTCCTCCTGGGTTACAAAGTGGGAAATGGCGAAATACGGCCATTGCCGGAGAAAATCCTGACAGTCAAAACCAGCGAAGTGCCAAATTCAAAGCGAAAGCTGAGACAGTTTTTGGGAAGAGCGGCATTCTACAGCCGATTTGTCAAAAATTTCAATGACATAGCTAAACCGCTATATACGTTGCTGAGTGACGCGAAATTCATGTGGACGGCAGAGGCACAGCAAACGTTTGAGCGAATTAAAGAGCTGTTAGATGGTCAACAGATGACGTTGAAACTGCCAGCGCCGGGGAAGCAGTTCACAGTTTCGACAGACGCCAGTGATTATGGTATAGGTGCTGTTTTAAGACAAACAGATGGGGTTGTTGAATACGCTAGCCGTGTGTTGACACTTGCAGAACAGAAGTATTCTACGGTGGAAAAGGAGTGTTTAGCTATCGTATGGGCACTAGAAAAATGGAGACCATATCTGATCGGCCGCCGATTCCACATTGAGACCGACCACAAACCTCTTCAGTGGTTGAAAACAGCACGGGATCCACGAGGGAAGTTATCACGATGGATGTTACGCCTACAAGAGTATGACTTCACGATTGGACATATTCCAGGAAAAGAAAATGTAATAGCTGACTATTTGTCGAGATCAGATAATGAGATTGAACTACCAGAAGTAGCGTATGCAGTAAACGCTTTGGAGCAAGATCCCTTACAACTTGTTCGCCACCAGAAGTCGGATCCTACTCTTAAGACAGTCATTCAGATGATACGTGAAGGGAAAGAAATTGAAATGGCAGCAGAGAATAAAGAGTTAAAGATGCTACTGCAGCAAAAACATAGACTCAAACTAAACGCTGCCGGCGTCCTAACTTGGAAAGACAGTGATGGTAGCTGGGTTACAGTGATACCAAAAAGCCTTCGTCGTGGGGTGATTCAAGAATGCCACCAACTAGCCCATACAGGAGTTACACGAACATACGACCTAGTGAGCCAAAGTGCATACTGGCCAAACATGAGAGGCGATATTGCAAACTACGTACTCGCTTGCCCACAGTGTCAATTGATGAAGGGTGATCGGTGCAGTCGACCGCAGCTACAAACGATACCCGTAACGGCGGTTGGTGACTTATGGTCCGTGGACATAATGGGTCCTTTCCCTCAGACAGCAAGTGGAAATCAATACATTTTAGTGATGACGGAACACGCCACGCGGTGGGTAAATGCTGTAGCGATTCCAGATCAGCGCGCCAAGACCGTAACCGAGGCCGTCATTCGACATATTGTGGCGGATCATGGTGTACCGAAAATGATATTGACAGATCAAGGCCCCTGTTTTGAAAGTGAGGAGTTCAAGACTCGTCTGGAGGCACTGGGTATTAAGAGGATTAGAACGACTCCGTATCATCCGCAGACAAACGGCTTAACCGAAAGGAACAATCGTACACTCAAGGAGTGGCTAGCTGCGAAAAGAGGCAACTGGGAAACTGACTTACCGTTGGTATTACTAGCACATCGTGCCACAGTACAAGGGACAACAAAAAAGTCGCCTTTCCAGCTGATGTATGGGAGGAAACCACGCTTACCGGTGCACCATAAGACTTGGCCAACACAACAAAAATGGAACAGTAAGAGATGGACAAATGAGCGGAAACAAGCTATTCAGAATATACAAGAGAAGCGCAAGAAAGACATCGAAAATTATGGCAAGAAACAAATCAAAGCTTGGAAGCCGTTTGAAGTAGGTGACCAGGTGAAATGTAGAGAACGAAAGTATACTACCGGAAGTGGACCAGGATCAGGAAAGCTTCTGCCGAAGTGGGAGGGACCATATGTGGTCACATCGAGACGCGGTCCAGTGTACACAATAAAGAGAGGTGATAAAGAGAAAAGAGTAAACGCCAGTCTGCTACAAAGATGGAGAGAAGAATGTCAAGATGAGGTACCAGAAGAGCAGCAGGAAGAAACGTCTGTGCGGCGATCAAGGCGGTTACAGGAGAGACTTTATAATGAGGGGGCGAGTGTGGTGAGTGCTACTTATAATCCGATATAAGTAGTATATCAGGAACGAAGTAACAACATGTTTGGCACACCGAAAGAGCAATCAAAGAAGAGAACCATAAGAAGAATGTTGCCATATGATGCAGAATCCAAGAAGCTATCGAATGAGATGATATTCGACCAATTCGTCAAGGATGTGGTGAAGATGTGCAAATGGCCGGTTTAGAATATGGTATTCCAAATTTAGCTATGTACCATACGTTTCACCAAATAAACAATCCTTTCAGTCTCCTCAGTCTTGTCTTCTTCACATACCTATATGCGTTCATCTCTGGTACACCGGTAAAATGTCCACCAGTCACGCCACACGTGGCCAGGGTTTCGATCACCATCCAAGTAACTCTTAAACCTTGCTCTGTTTACTAGTCGTGATAGTTAGCTCGGAAAAGAGGTTAGGTTCGGGGGACTGGTCACAAAACTAGTAACCTCATCCCGTAAAAGCAACAGCACTTCTACTGAAATTTCAATCCTGAGGTCCTATATTCCACACATAACTTAAAGTAGTTTGAAAATATTCCCCTATGTAGTAGAACCAAATAGTCAGCTAGATAGAGATAAATACGCACACAAGAAAATAAAGCTCACTAGTGTGCTAAAATATGACGTACCCTTATGTGTGTAATATTAACTGGAACGGGGATTAGGTTGAAAGAAAGTTAGGTGCTGATGACATCATTGCATAAATTCTTTGAATTTTCAGCCTAAACTGTGTTTAGATTTGAAGGCCGATGGTTGGCAATCAGCTGTAATGATGCGAGTACATTCTTGTATTATGTCTATCCTTTTATCCACATAAGTTTTCCATTCACATTTTCGTTTCCTCAGGTTTTATGTGGCGCTTGACAACTCTTTTGATTGATTTCTTGTTATATTCCCCCCCCCACTGTTTTACTTTTAACTTGATGGTTTATAGGTTTTGATGTCCTTCATCGTATTATTATTATTGTTCTCTTGGGTTCCGAATGGAACATACGACTTCAACAGCACACCTCTACTTTGTCCTATTCTCTACTGTCCTTTTCAGCTGTCTGGGCACACGATTACCTATAATCTCTCATTTCCTCCTTACCATACGATTTCCTCAATGTCACCCTCTCATTGACGACCCACTCGTCGCTTCCCATTTGGATTCCAATCGAGCAATGATCTGCATTGAGTGTGATATCATTCATTGGTGTCCTTAGCGTGTGCCCGATCCATCTCCATTTCCTCCTACATATTTGTTGAGCAATCGGCTCTCGCCTATTGGTTTGTTCCCATAGTTTCTTGTTGCTAATTCTTTCTGGCCGGTCGGCCATTTGATCTTCAGTATGGAGCCAGCGAAGCGGGCAGCTGTTGATAAGAAACTGTAACTTGTTGGAAATCCTTTTCGTGAAACGCTAGTCAAGTTTCTGAATCGTATGGAAGAACTGACTGACTTGACATTTGTGTTGAATAGAGTCCGAATCTTGTTCTTTATGCTGGCTGATTTTGGTGCAGAAGATTTCCAAACTGATTTCGGAGTGATATGAAGACGTACCTTGTCTTTCCAATTATGATAACCTCATCTGTGCTGTCGCTTGTGATTGAAACGATGCTCCCTAGATAAGTAAAGGAAGTTTCAAATCTCGCGTTGATAATGATTAGTGGTTGTTCCCCCTGTTGGTTGTTGGGTATCTTTATCACTTCCGTCTTCTCTATGTTCACCTGGATTCGTCTTCGCTGGCTGCTTCTTCAGCTAGTTTCTTTGGTTTTCGCCTGTAATTCTTCTAGTTTGTGTAACATTAAACATAAATCATCCACTCGTGAAATCCAGATCTTCTAGAGTCTTCTTATCGGTAGGCCAGTCTCTCTTCCTGCTTTTGTCGTATGCTGGAATATTTCGTCTGTTCTCTTAGCTTATCAACTTAGCACAAAGCAAATGTAGAAACTATTTGTTACGCAAGTCTGTCTGTCTGTCTTCTTATGTGATGTTGAAATGAATGAAGTCATTGCTTGTCTCATCACCATGGCAATTCTTCTAAATCACTAGCATTCAATTATTTCTTTTCTCACTTTAGTTATCTACTAATTAACCTGTAACTTCTGTCAATGGATTTCATACATATATGTGATTCTTCAGTTTTTTTTGTTATTGCGGATATATTTCAATCAACAGAGAAAGTGGAACTGCACTTCCGTTACCTGACTAACTGACTGACTGACTGACTGGTTTCAACGTAGAACTTTGAACAGATATGCAGCAGTTCAAGTCGCCACACTCCATGTAGCACACAAAATAAGAGAAAGTAAAAAGGAATGCAAATAGAGACAGTAAACAGAGATATGAGACAAAAAGAATAGCAATATCGAAGAACGATATAGTCTTATTGGGTATTTTAAGTCACAAGGAGTGGATGCATCTAACTGTGCCAGCCATTGAGAACGATTTTGAGCTATATCACCAATTGTCTCCAGCCTTCATTGGTTTTTACCATCCCGAGGGCCCCAACCAGGCAGTCAGGAAGTTTGCACCTTCCTAAGTGGCTTTAACTAACAGTTATGTATTTCATCGACTGATGAAGCCATGTTTTGAATTGACCACCACTAGCCAGCTCTTTTCCAATCCAATTCTATGTCAGCTAACATTGCCCATTGTCAAGGAAGACAATGGCTTGGCATACGTAACACATGTCCAAACCATCTCAGTCGATGTAACTTCATAAACTCGTCGATTGATTTCCCCTCCCACCTACATAGCACTCGGCGCCTGACCTCAATATTCCTCATCCTATTATACCACTTCACACGGGAGATAGAACGCAGACACCTATTATCAAGGACAGCTAACTGGCCTTTTCATGTCTTTCAGTCTCAATGGCCGTGTCTTGCCGACAGCCATAACGGAGTGTGGAGCGGACTGCTGAGCAGTACACACACCCTTGACACACCGTTACCTGGATGACATTTTTGTAGTCTATTGTAAAGGTCTATGTAATGACTTGGTTTTGAACCGCTTCAGTAGTGCGATCCATTTCGCTTATGAAGGAGAAAATAGTGACTTTCTGTTACTTCCTCGACGTCCTACTAACGAGAAAATAAAATAAAATCCCTTCAAAGAGCCATATTTAAAAAACTAAATACTATAGCCCAGTATACACATATCCTTAGCTTCGCACCAATGGGATATAAAGGTAATCTTATCAGGTGCTTAGCATCTACAGCAAGGTTGATTTGCTCTGAAGACTGTTTGAAAATAAAACTCCACAACATCGCGGACACTCTAAGCTAAAGCGGAAATCGAGAGGAGTTTATAAAGGCACCAACATAAGTTATAATAGTTGGAAACATGAAATGGCAATTGTAGGGAAAATGCCATTCTCCTACGGAGAATCTATCTAAACGTCTAACTAATCAGAGCGATGAAGAAGACTTTCTACTCTGAACATCTGATCGTATCTTCTAGTAACCGTCCAGTGTTCACCAGGAAACTGAGAGATTTCTTACCTAATCTTAGCTCCTCCTCTTCCTCCTCGTGCAAATACTATTTTAGCTGTTCTCTTGGTTCAAGTTATACAGGGTGTACGATTAGGCAGGTCAGTCCACAGACTGGAGAACATCTACTAGCTTTGTTCAGTAGATGAGGGGTGGGGGGAATCAAATGCCTAAAAAGTTCAATTCTACCACACTTTGGTAGATACAGGACGTCGCATTGACGCTAACATAGCTACCAGGGTTATATACCACATTCCGAAATAATTATCCAAGCACAGTTCACCTACGCCTTCTAAAATATACGTTAAGTTGTTGCAATAAGATAGACTAAACGAGACTTTTGTATTAAAAAAACACTTTCGGGGTTGTGTTTTTTTCCTACAATTGTCCAAACTTGAATTAAAAGTTCTTCTCCCTTCCAAGAGTGTCTTTCCCACTTATCCCTTTCTCCTTTCATTTATTATTAATCTCCTTTTCTCTTCATCCTAACAGCTTTTAGTCACAGTATATTTAATGATTTGCAGTCTCCATTTTTAGCGTTCTTTTGATACTATCGAATTTCCCACTAATACTGTCGTGATTTATTATTACTGATATTATCTCTCTTTTTTTGTTGTTGTTGAATAAATGCCTCCCTCCACCTGTTTTTACCGCAGTCTTACTATCTCCTCTTTGATTTGGCACTAGTAACTAGTGTGATGTGTCTGGCTAGTCCTTTCTTTGGTACAGACTGAATTCTATCAGTCAGGTTTGCAATGCGGCCACCATTAAATGTACACCGTGATGGCCAACTACCTAGAATGGTGGCCACATTGAAAACCTTACTGGTAGAATTCAGTCTGCACCAAAGAAAGGACTAGACACATCACACTAGTTACTAGTGTCCATTCAAAGTATCCACTACAGTCCTACAGGAGGTCAGTTGTGAGTCCGAATAGCTAGTTCATTGAAAACGTCTCTGACTTCAGGCAGCACTGGGTGACGGGGGTTCGAATTTCCTCAGAAGGGACATGAGTTCCTTCAAGGTGACTGCAGATACGCCTGCCTTGCTGACTGGTGAGTGCCAGCTAGCACGAAACCTATGTCAAGAGAGCAAGGCTTGCTGTGGCCGATTGCTTCCAACCATCTAATATTACTATCTCCTTTTTAATGCATACACACCTTTTACAACATTGAACTGACTTGTCAATTTTCCTTCCCTACAGTGTATGAATCTATTACGGATTACTAATCACCATCATCATCCTCTCCATCATTGTCTGACATTTCAAAATATTTTGTAGTTGCATTCAGTCGAGCATGTTTGTTACACAAGTACTATTTATACGCATAAAACCAATGTACTACTGATTAATTGGGATATGAGTAGTTGCGTACCAGTCATATCAGTCAGCAGTGCTTGCTAGCCAGACACCCTGCATCAATCACCATCAACTGGAGAGATATGATAGAGGTTACTTCCTGCCCTCACTAATCTTTGGGCAACCAGCATCGTTTCAGGTTAATAAAGCAGGATTTAATGAATTCATCAAATTTCGGTGAATTCATTAAACCCTGCTCTGTTGACCTTTGTTGCTTTTTTTTAAATTCGTATCGGGAAATAAATGTTTTCAATTATAAAACTTAGGCACTGTGGTAGAGTATAACTCCATAATGGTTAAGATTTTATTTTGATAAATCACACAGTGTTGTACAGTTATATTAA